CTTAGGTATAAGTAGTATGAGAAATATGATAAATGATATCATAAAGAAGTATACCAAAATAGGACTTGTGAAGTGTGATAAAATACCAAGTGAGTATGTTAATAATAATGACCACTCTGGTAAGTTTGGATCACAGATAATTGGATTGGTAGCTGGTAGCAAATGGAGATACCTATTGCACAAATAATAGTTTCAGCCAGAGCATAAATTACTAATAGGATCCAGGTCTAAGCTTGATATATTTGATATATGGAGGGGAGTCAGTAGAAATGGAACAAATTTTTTCTAAGTAAAAGTTTTCTTAACTTTAAATTTAAATATTTTGTCAACTATCTTATTAAATCTAATAAATTTTTTTTTATTTTAATTTCAGGTAATTCTAGAATTAAAATAAAAAAAATTTATCAAAATTAGTTAAGTAGTTGTCAAGAAATTGTAATTTAAAAATTAAAAAAAATTTACTAAAAATGATTTGTCCCATTTCTACTGACTCCCCCCTATATATAATACGAAAATGTAGTAATGCATATAATGGAAGTATTATTAATAAATAAAGTCATGGGCAAGATTCCACCTTAACACCAAAAAAAAAATATATATTAATTATATAGTATATATATAGGCAAATTTTTTATTCAACCAAAAAGGAAGAAAATTTTTATCTAGTCTATAGAAAAGAGAGTTATAGATTCCCAATCCAGCATACAAAAAAATTTAAAAATACCTCCTATGAAACTATTCATTATAGATATAGATGAGACCACAAAGTATAAATCATCTCGAAATATTGGACATTCAGCAATGATATGACCTTTTAGGATAATAGTCAGTGGAAGAAGTAGTACAGATAAGACCAATTTATTAGCAAACCTTGTTCTTAGAGATAAATGTGAATATATATAAATATGACAAAAGGGAGAATCCAGAAATATTAAATGCGATAATTTGATAGTTTGCAGTTATCATCCTGATAAACCAAAATAGACATTTGTTAGATATATGTATAGAATAATAGCAAGTAATTCCAAAGCACCCTATTACAAAAATATTAGATTCAGCTATATATCACCAGAACAAATTTCTATTGTAAAATTATTTCCACCTGAGAGAAGCACTGTAATCATTTTTGAGAATATATGTATTGCTTCTGAGTCTATCCAAAATCGAATTATATTATTTTTTACACATAGATAACATCGAAATATTTCTCTATGCTATATTACTCAGAAATATAATCATGTACCAATTATTATTTGTGAGAATATTTTCCTTCTAGTAATATATAATAGGAGAAGCAGTTATCAAGACGTATTCAAGATAGCTGGCTGATATACTGATGATGTAAAGGTCGCATCCATAGTTATTAATAGCTATCTTTGTAAAGGTGAGTTTGTTATATTTAATCTCACTAGGTTGTAAGGTTTAATACATCATTGAACTTGCAGAAGGAGATAGAAGCTAGGCAGAAGTGCAAGATAGGTTCGAAGAACCAGGACCCAAAGGGTCCTCTAATGGCCTGCTCTGCAATAAAAAATGTATTACCTATGAAGTCCACAAATTTTGAACCTGAAAAAGTTAAAAAATCAGCCATGTAAGTGTCTTGCTTTGCAGAAATAAAAGTCTATAGTGTTATATTATACACTTTATAGATTTTTATTTTATTTCGTGCATTACCCAATTGTGATCTCAAGAATAGCATTAGTTAAATAGTGAACAACTACTCTATTCAAAAAATATTATATTAATAAATTGAATAAATAGTATAATTAAGGAATTGATTTATTTATGTTTCAAGTACTAAAAGATGCTTTTGAAATCTATTCCGTAAATAGGTTTTCTTTCTATCTACTCAATTATATAGAATATAATCTTCTTCATATTTATTATTAATAAAATAGCTAACTATATTAGGATTACATCTTCTATATATTGCAATTTTCTTAGTATTCTATTGATTGAACTGATTTTGAGTTTAAGGATTTTTCATTTTACAAGAAGTTAAACCAAAAAATTTCTCATCTTCTGGAATATTATCATTCGATAAACTTAACCAAACAAGTCATGCATTTGATGAGTCCCTTTCTTTGAATTACCTCCAAGCATTTTAAATGTTTCTAGCATATCCATTCTAAGTTTTTGAGTATTCAGTTTTCCAATATTCTTGCATCAAATCATCTACCTCAATCATCTCAATATATCTATTTCTGATATAGTGAATTTTTTTTTTCAGCTTTACATCATTAATCCCACACTAAGTTGTATATTTTTTGCAGATTGAACAAACTATCCAAGCCAAAGTACTAAGTCATCAAAATGATAATTATACTTTTTTGAACACATAACATACAGAAGCCAGAGGTTTTAGCTGCAGAACAACAATTTTTTGCATAGCTTAAATATACTCATAGCAAGTAACTTAGATGATTGACCGATCAACACAAAAATAACTCAGGTATAGAAGTAAAACTAGAATCTAAAGCAAAAACAATATATATCTGATTTGGATCAAAAATAATATTGCTTGTTATCAATAGTAAAATCGGTCTTGATATATTATAATCTATTAACAAGACTGAATTTTGTTCTTTTTCAAGCCTACTTTTTTTATTATAATGAGCATGATATGATAACTTTTTGACTAGTTTCTCTTCAGACATGTCAATAAGGTCAGAAATTTCATTTTTACATTTCTCAATAGATGCTTGCATTGTTTATAAAATTTTTAAAAAAATGTTCTTGATATGTTGCTAATAGGTGAAAATTTTTAGTGATATATAGTGAAGCTTACAATATTATAAAAAATAAATTATGGGTGTTTATATTAGAGTGTAGTCCTTTTATTAGAAAAGAGATTATATCTAAGAGCTGTGACAGATATTATGTAATATTTTAGGGGGTATCTGAAAACAATATTATATATATATAATTATGGGTTTGAAAATTCCACGCACCTGCATGGTCATGCATCCCCGTGATCGACCAATAAAAATCAATCACGTGAATAACATGATCTGATACCTGTGATCCGACACCTATAATCTGACTCATAATCTGACACATCAAAAACAAGTTAATCTAAATTCTTAAAAATTTGAACGAAAATATCTCGATGACTACCCAACCAAATTTAATGAAATTTTATTTATTTAAATCTACAGGTTTGTAGAATTCAAATAAAAAAAAAAATTCATTATATTGAATCAGGTAGTTGCTGAGGTATCTTTGCTCAAAGTTGGAGAAAATTCAAAATGTCTATCAAGAGAAGCTGCGCCGAATTAGTTTTAAACTTTGAGCGAAGGTATCTCGATACCCACCTAATCAAATTTGATAAAATTTTTTTTATTTGAATTCTACAAATTCGTAGAATTCAAATAAAAAAAATATTTATTGAATTTGGTCAGGTGTCGCTGAGATATTTTTGCTCAAAGCCATATGATATTCAAAATGTCTATCAAAATCGAAACTGCGTTGAATTATTAAAAGTTTGAGCAAAGATATCTTAGCGATCACCTAACCAAATTCAATGAAAATTTTTTTATTTAAATTCTACAAATTCGTAGAATTCAAAAAAAAAAAAAATTCTCAAATTTGGTCAGGTAGCACCGAGATATCTTCGCTCAAAGTTGGAGAAAATTCAAAACGTCTATCAATAGAAGCTGCGCCAAATTAGTTTTAATACTTTGAATGAAGATATCTCAACGACCACCTAATCAAATTCGGTAAAATTTTTTTTTGAATTGTAAAAATTTGTAGAATTCAAATAAAAAACTTTTTATCGAATTTGGTCAGGTGGCCGTCAAGAAATTTTTGCTCAAAGTTGTAAGATATTCAAAACGAATATCAAAATTGAAACTGCATCGAATTATTTTAAAATTTTGAGCGAAGATATCTCTGTGGCCACCTAACCAAATTCGATAAAGTTTTTTTATTTGAATTCTACAGATTCGTAGAATTCAAATAAAAAATTTTCATCGAATTTGGTCAGGTGTTCACCGAAATATTTTTGCTCAAAGTTATAAGATATTTAAAAACGTCTATCAAAATGGAAACTGTGCCGAATTATTTTTAAAACTTTGAGCGAAGATATCTCGGCGACCACTTGATCAAATTCAGTAAAATTTTTTTATTTGAATTCTATAAATTTGTAGAATTCAAATAAAAAAAATTTTATCGAGTTTGATTAGGTGATCGTTGAGATAACTTTGCTCAAAGTTCAAAACAGCCATCAAAATTGAAGCTACACCGAATTATTTCGAACCTTTGAGCGAAGATAACCTGACGACTGCCTGACCAAATTCGATGAAAATTTTCTTATTTGAATTCTAAGAATTTAAATAAAAAAAATTTTTCATCGAATTTGGTTAGATGCTTATCGAGATATTTTCATTTAAAATTTTTAAACTGCTATTCAACTAAATTTGACAAAACTCCTTTATTTAAAGCATTTATTAAAATAGATAACGACAAAAATTCTAATTACTCTATAATATGTATCGGATTTTGTTTATTTAAAAAAAAAAAAAAAAATACAAGCACAATGAAGAAACTGCAAAACCAAAACTAATCCTAACAAAACAGAAAAACCAATAATAGCACCAACGGCAGTACCAATGACGAATCAATGGCGAAATCAACATTGACTCTGAAAAAGAACCCAGAAAGGAAAAACGTCTACAAAAAAAAAAAAAAATAAGAATTAAATGAACAAAAGAATGCGAAATAAAGAAGCCAGTTACTTACCACCCAAAGAAATAAATCCAGGAAAAACGTTTAAAGAAAACTACAAGAAAAAAAAAAAAGGGTAATAAAAACTACCCAAAGAACAAATCAAACAAAAGAATACAAAAAAAAGAGCACCAGATACTTATTACCAGAAGAAAGAACACCAGATAATTACGACTCAAAGAAGAACACCAGAAAAGAACATCGAAGGAAATCCTACAAGAAAAGAAAAACAAAAGTAGTAAAAAAACTACCCAAAAAACCAAACAAACAAAAGAATGCAAAATAAAGCCAGATACTTACCACCGAAAAAAAAACGCCAAGAAGGAAAAATGATGAAAGAAATCCTACAAAAAAAAAAAGAAAGAAAGGGTAGTAAAAAAGCTACCCATGAGCAAACAAACGAAAGAATGCAAGATAAAGAATGCCAGATACTTACCACCCGAAAAAAGAACGCCAGGAAGAATGCCTACAAAAAAAAAAAAGAAAAGAGCAGTAAAAAAATCTACCCAAGAACCAAACAAATGAAAGAATACAAAATACTGAACGAAAGATACTTAACACCGAGGAAAGAATGTCAGAAAGGAAAAAAGACGAAAGAAATCCTACAAGCAAAAAAAAAAGAAAGGGTAATAAAAAAGCCACCCAAGAGCCAAATAAACGAAAGAATGCAAGATAAAAATGCCAGATACTTACCACCCAAAGAAAGAACGCCAGGAAAAAAGAATGCCAAAAGAAATCCTACAAGAAAAAAAAAGAAAAAAAAAGGTAATAAAAAAAATCTACCTAAGACCAAACAAATGAAAGAATGCAAAATACATAACGCCAGATACTTGCCACTGAAGAAAGAACGCCAGGAAGGAAAAACGATGAAAGAAATCCTACAAAACGAAAGAAAGGAAGGGTAGTAAAAAAAGCTACCCAAGAGCCAAACAAACGAAAAAATGCAAGAGATAAAGAATGCCAGATACTTACCACCCGAAGAAAGAATGCCAGGAAGGAAAGAAATCCTACAAAAAAAAAAAAAGAAAAGGGCAGTAAAACAAATCTACCCAAGAACTAAACAAACGAAAGAATGCAAAATACAGAATACAAGATACTTACCATGAAGAAAGAATGCTGAAAATCTTAAAAAGAAAAAAAAAAGGTAGTAAAAGAAACTACCCAAGAACCAAAAAGAATGCAAAATAAAGAATATCAAATACTTACCACCTGAAGAACGAGCGTCAGAGAAAGAACATTTAAAAAAAAATCCTACAAGAAAAAAAAGAAGAGAAAGGGTAGTAAAAAACTATCCAAATAAATAAAAAAAACCTCTCCAAATAAAGAATGCTAGATACTTACCACCTGAAAAACGTCACTTCCAACTTCCGGTTCCACTACTGCAAAAAAAAAAAAGAAATTAGTATTTGAAGAAAATAAAAAAAAGAAAAAAGGGGATACTTATATTGCCTAGTTTCGTGGTTCCTGATCACTTCTAGATCCCAGTGCCAATTGCGTTCTAGTAAAGACAAGATCTACAAAAAAAAAGTTAGTATCAAAAAAAAAAAAAAAAAACAAACTGAAAAAAAAAGAAAACAAAAACAAAAAAAAAAAAAAAAAAAAAAAAAAAAAAAAAAAAAAAAAAAAAAAAAAAAAAAAAAAAAAAAAAAAAAA